ACTTGGTCATACAATTCTCGCGGAAATAAATACTCTAATTCTTCATTATTACTTGTTTGAAGATTTCAATACACTTGCGAATTTGCCTTGTTCATTATTATTTATTATATTATTATATAATAAAGGAGAATCATAGAAACTGCAATGAGCTCTCTTTGAGAGTGAAACTCTCTATAAATTGGGAATTTCGTTTTAATCTCATTAGAAAAATTGAAGATTTTGCGAAGAGAAACATATTGTTCCGCTTTTGCCTTTTCTACACTTTAAATGATTTTTATGAATTTTACTTTAAAAATTATTCTTTTCTATGAATTTTAAGTACAATGTTCTCTTTGTTTAACTTTTATTACTTTCTTATTTTCTTTCAATATACTATTTTAATAGTGATGTTCCTTTAATTAGAATAAAAAATTTGTATTTCTTCATTATACATTTAAATTTTTAATTATTATATACTGCAAACCCCATTTTCTAACAGCAAATTTCTGATACCTTAATAAAGAAGAACACATAACAACAATGTATAAAATCTGCAGCTATAAATAACAATCTAGCTATAATCTGCAGCTGCACTTGCCATATAGCAATGGTAAATCATTTTGGAAAAAATCATAACCTTGATATTTTCAGAGGAACTCTGTATGAAGAATGACACTAAATATAGTACTTCAAAAGAAGTTCCACCAAATGAAAAAATAAGAAAGGATTATACTTATTAGAAAATACTTGAACATTAGTGTGTGGGCAAAGGTAAGGTCACGAGAAGATACAAGTAATAAACATGTAACTGCAATGAATTCAATAGAGGAAGAAAGGATATTACTTTGAGACTGCCTTAGAGCTACGTTACAATTATGGATTGTGAGATTGATTAATTATGCCATATAAATTATTAATTTGGTTGTTAACTTACTGCTTTTTAGCAAAAAATGATTATTATAACACACCGTACATCACATTGAAACACTGTTTTATTAGATGATCATTACACATATTTAGAGTGGATTTTAGATAATAGTGATTTATAAATTGTTTTGACTATTATTTATCATTAATTTCAATATGAAATCATATTTATAATATGAGAGAAAAAATTATAATCGATACTTAATAGTATACAAAAATAATAATAAATGAATAGCAAGTATAAAAGGAGTAATGATAACATGCAATGCATGTGAAGAAAAAAACTAGTATATATAAAAGAAAGGATGTGGAGGAGAAACATTAGGGTTGACAAAATACTCCTGCTAAATTTTTGAATTGAAAAAAATATCTTTAAGGTTTGTAATTCCATTGATTGAAAAAATAAGATGTTGGTTTTCTATTTAAATCTAAATTTTATTTTCTAATAAATAAAATAAAAATATTATTACAAAATACTATAATTATAAAATTTATTTTAGGAAGGTTACACTTCACCCCCTTATGGGACAACGTCCTCATTGAGGTTTGTCCCACCACCGATTAGAGGAGCAAGAACCGACACTGATACCAGATGCGGTGCTAGCTTGAGATGTTAGCTTACCGTTAGGCAAATCCCACATTGGATAAGTGCGTGGGAGAAGAGGTGGATATGTAAGTGCTAATATACTTTAGACTTGTAAAAGACTTTTTGAAGACGATGGATTATCACTCTTAGAAATAAAATCAATATTAAGGCTTACCAACTTAATTAGAAACTTTTTTTTAATTATAGGGACAACTCTCCTCTTGGCTCACCAAATTGATGAAAACAACTGTGATCGAAAGGACTCTAGACCTTCCACTCTTCATATAACTTAATTAGAAACTTGAGACCTTGCACTCCTCATATAACTTAATTAGAAACTTTAAAGATTAATATTTTATAATTGACAGTAAAAAGAATCCATATTTAAAATGAATTATAAACTAAAAATTTTTAAAAAATCATATTTCAATATCAAAATTTAATAGAAAAGACAAATATTAATAAGAATTAATTAATATTTAAATTTAAATTTATTATTAAGAAATATTATTAAGAAATATCAAAACACGGGTATGAACAACAAGTAAATGTTGTTAAAACCCAGTTCTCATAGAACCATATAACTTGGGAAAGGGAGTAACCATTGTTGTTATAACATTAATTTATCATAATTATTGTTATTTAAAAAAGGAGTCTAATATCATAATAATTGCTAACATTTACAGAATATTAATTATATAAATTAAATTTGAATATTGCCATTTTCAAAATAATTTATGTAGAGATCCAAGTATAAATATTAAAAAATAATTTTAATGAAAAATGAAATATTAAAACTGCAAAAACTATAAAAAAGACTAATTTTTTCTATTAAATTTGTATATGGCTAATATATCTAATAGTTATTTTTCCAATGAAGTTAATTTAAAGACATATCGCATTTAAATATGTAGCTGGTCAAGACCCATAATATCTTCAGATCTTTATGTTATGATATGTCAGACTTGACACCGAATTGACTAAAAATAAAAATTCCAAATTTAAACAAGCTACAAATAAAAATTTAAAGGTGTAATTAACTTAAATCTATATCTATCTATACTATTAATAAAAGTGAGAATAGGAAGATAATGAGATTTTCGACGGCGCACTTAATAAATTTTAGGATATTCTAAAATAACCTTAGTCATAGCGAATTAGAAAATTACATTTTATTAGAATACATTTATAAAAATTATTTTTTAAATAATTATGTGTGGTCTAATAGTTTCTTTTCACCTTAGGATATCATAATTGAATGACAATCTTCTTGATAATTGAGGGGTGAAGGATTGGAGATTGAAGAGTACATGGAGAGGGAGGCGCAGTGAAGAGATATGCAAAGATTGGAATAAGAGGGGACCTGAACCACTTCTTTAGAATAATGTGGCAATGGGAACTGAGATGTGTTTTTTGTCCTTTTGCTCATATCATTCTCTATTGTCTTGAAGGCAGAGTTTAAATAATTAAAAATAAAATTCATCTCTGGGTGTAAGGGTTGTGAAAGATTCAAACCCCCACTTTGTCTTTTTGTGTTTAGCTTAACATTTGGTCGCGATTATTCATATTCAACTCTCATTGACGCTAATGATTTCCGTACAATTGCTTCATATTTTTCTTCGTTAATTGTTTTGTCTTCTTTGCATATTTTCAAACAATTTTTTTTTTTTCTAATTGTTTAGCTGTTCTCTATTTTTGCACTGTGGCTTTAATTAGGTTACCTACTATTTTTATAATTTGATAACTGTGGGCCTACAAGGCCAATCACCTTTTCATGATGCCTGTTAAATGTTTCCATAACATTTAAGAATAGTCTATTTCATAGAAACAATATGCAATAGCAATTTTAAATTGGAATGAGCCTGTTTTGTCTAATTGTTCAATCAATTAAATGATAAAGATGAACAAAGATAGTGTCTGCAATTTGAGCCTATTTGAATTGGAAATTATGGTCCAACCAAAGCTTTACATTCAAATTTATAGGAGGCCTCCTAGCAGCTATTCTTAAAGAAAATTAAAAAGAGATGGCAGTAATTTTTTTCATTAAAATTTTTTATTATCAGTTATATATTTTTAATTTACGTAAATGTATGAATGTGGGGAAATATATGAATTGTGCAAAACGGACATTAATATTGTTTATATTTACAAGAAAAGCCCGTAATGAATCTTAATTAAATTTATTTACAGCCCCATAAATGAACTTGATCCATAATTTTAACCATATATGTGTTTCCTAATTAACGTAAACTGCTTCCTAATTAATATATTTTTAGTTCTTTCTGTTTAATTTCATTGAGTTGTAATAAATATGGTAGTAATACATATGTTCAATATTATATAAACATAAAAGTAAGTATATTTGAAGAAAAAATATAGTAAACGTATTTATTTATTTGGTAAACCGTATTTATTTATTTATTCTTGACTTAATTTTTCTGTTTAATTTCATTGAGTTGTAATAAATATGGTAGTAATACATATGTTCAATATTATATAAACATAAAAGTAAGTATATTTGAAGAAAAAATATAGTAAACGTATTTATTTATTTATTCTTGACTTATTGCTTTAATACATGTTCTATTTATTATCATCCTTAGATGTATTACATTCATTTTATTTGTTTTTCTATGCATAAATACTGCAAACATCTTTAAACAAACTAATTTGTGTTCTATATTTGCTTTATATCAATTTAACTTTATAAGATCTTAGAACTCTACAACAGTTATGCTACTGAGATTTTTTTTTTTTTTTTTTGATTGCTTATAATAAAATAGAATTTTCAAAGTAATATTAATTATTCATTTAATAGTTTGATCAATTTTTAAATCTTAATATACTTTTATTTTGCAGAAAGAATAAAAAGGAAATTTGTATTTTAACAAGTCTCTCTCTCTCTATGTGTGTGTGTGTGTGTGTGTATATACACACATATGTACATATATACACTAATATATATATACTGCTTGTGGTTTTCATAGTGTAGTGTATTAAAATTTTCCATTTGCTTTCTGGTTTAAGAAGAAAGCACTACATTCTTCAACCTATTATTTTCAAACCCCATCCCTATCAACACCAGAGCTACAACCAAAGTAGCTTTAAAAATTCCGTTTCATTGAAGACATAACTAAATAGTTTCATGGTTACATTGTTATCCATCTATTTCTCATTTTTAAAGCACTTGATTTAGTATCTGCACTCTACATATCAAATAATATTCCTTATGGGGCATATCAATAGCTATAGTGCATTGAACTGCATAAACAAACAGTAATTATGGGTGCTCAACCAATACAAGGCTACTGAAATGGGTTAAAATTGTCTTATCTGTTGGAATCATTGGATATTGTTAATCTGGTCTTTTCTGTCATTAGTATTAGTTAATATATTTTTAGTTGAACATGTTGCAAAAAGTGTTGGTCGTTGCTTGAATCCCATTGGACTTCGTGTTGCTTGAATCCCATTGGACTTCGTGTTCACCATATTTATGCCTTTTTGCCACTTAGGTTGTTGTCACACAAATGAATGGTGTAGATTACAAATCAGACTTAATTCGTGTGCTTCATGTGGGAAAGATGAGAATGAAGCTTCGTAAAGGAAAGTCGACAATTACTAAAGAGTACTACTCCACTTTAATGCAGGTAAATGATTTGCAAGTTAATCCTCTTCTTGGAAGATGTTTTGATGTTTGAATTTTTATTCCTTTTTTCAAAGATCATTTTTTTCTTGTAGGGGACATTCTTTCTTGTTCATGTAGTCGTTCCCCATAAAGTTTTTTAATGTAAAATATAAATCGTTCCTGTTATTCCACCTCTCACTAGTCAATCAAAAGGAACTGTTATGTGGAGCAATTCTTTGGGGGAAGAAATAAATTCATTATACTCATGTTTTCAAGCAATGTAACCTAATCCACATTTTATTCTTGTGCTCCCTCTCTTTCTCTGGGTCTGAAAATAAGGCACCACTTGTTTTTTGTTTAACTTTTTTAGTTAAGTGAAAAAATGATATTACTCGGCACTCTAAATAACTGTTGCACTTTCTTGGTATTTAGCTTTGTGGGGTTAGAGAGGTGGGAACGCTGGCAGCGCACCTTGGGTATAATGGCAGCGATGCAAATGGTACTCTTTTAGTAATTAGCATTTGAATCAAGAGAGGGGATTAGAAATGCACAAATTATGGCCTTGAAGGAGGTTTGCCTTTGATTGCAATGTAAGTATTTCTAAAATTTATCAACTTCTACTTGTACACAATTTTTTGTTTATTGGTACAGTATTTCTTTTCTTTCCACCTTTTTTTTTTCTTTCTGTTCCTTCTGTATTTTAATATCAAATTCTTGAAATGCCAGATCACGCTTGCTGGGCCTGATGACCGGAATCCGTTAGGAAGTTAACCAACTCCACATATGGTATTCCAATTCAGTAACTGTAATTATCACATTGAGTTTCCCCCTGTATTATAGGTTTGTAACCGTAGGAGGTTGCATTGTATGTTCTGTTATGGGCTTCCATCATTCTTTCTTTCTTTTGTTTTTGTTTTTGTTTCTCTTATTTTCTTCTCCTACTGATGAGCTAATTCATGGCAATCAGAGTCAAGAAGAAGAAATCAACTGAGAAAATCAAATCATTTTCTTGAGAGAGAATGGAAAAATACAAATACAAAGAGAGATGCTTTCTCATACAGATCTCTATCGCTCTTAAACTAAGAAACAATAACCGTCAGTGCCAGCTGGCAATTTATTGAAAATAAATTAGAGCCACAAGATCAAAACAGAATTCATATCAATATACTTTCACCCCCCCCCCCCCCCCCCCCCTGGCAATTTATTGAAAAAAAATAAATTAGAGCCACAAGATCAAAAACAGAAATTCATAACATCAAATATATTTCACCCCCCCCCCCCCACAGAGATCTCCTTCAAGATAAGTTTGGTGAGAAATCAACCAAACAACAAATATATGAGAAGAAGACGAGAGAAACAATAGAACGCACTCAAGATCTTGAGTTGGTGAGAAATCAACCAACCCAATCTTGGAAAGGAGACGAGAGAACATAGAAGCACTCAGATTCTTTGTAAACACATCTGCTAATTGGTGTTTTGACAGCACATGAGCAGTGGTAATGAACCCATTTTGACGCTGATTACGAACCACATGACAATCAATGTCAATATGTTTCGTTCTTGAACACGGGATTTGCTGCTATGTGTAAAGCAGCCTTGTTGTCACAAAATAATGGAATGGGAAGATACAAAGATAATTGGAGATCTTGAAGCACATAAGAAATCCACTTCAACTCACACACAGTAACAGCCATGGCACAGTACTTAGCCTCTATAGTAGATCTACTAACAGCGTTTTGCTTTTTTGTTTTCCATGAAACTAAGGAAGTCCCCAAGTAAATGCAATATCCAGTAAGAAACTTTCTAGTGGTGAGGCAAGAGGCCCAATCAGCATCATAGAAAGCTTGTAGTTGAAAAGAATTAGTGGCAGGAAAAAACAATCCTGTTGTTGGATAAGTTTTCAAGTACTTCAACACATGAATAGCAACTTTTAAGTGTGTTGTAGTAGGGGCTTGCATGAATTGACTCAATTGCTGAACTGAGTAAGTTACATCCAGTCTTGTTAAATTGAGATAGAGTAAGCGGCACACTAAACTTCGATATTGTTCAGGATCCTTCAATAAATCACCATCATCTGGTTTAAGTTTTAGACCCTGGATCAAAGGAGTATGTACTGCTGTGGCATCTTATATACTAACCTCCTGTACCAAATCCATTATATATTTTCTTTGTGTAACACACATGCCCGTTTCTGATCTAGCTATCTCCAAACCTAAGAAAAACTTAGCATAGCCTAGATCTTTGATATTAAATTTGTCATGTAAAAACTGCTTGACATTCTTTGATATTAAATTTGTCATGTAAAAACTGCTTGACATCAACAATCAACTTTTCATCAAATCCAATAATCAAAATATCATCTGCGTATAATAACAAAGCCAAAAAATCATTGTTTGTACTTTTTGTAAAAAGATAATGATTATTTTGGGACTGTTGAAACCCATACTCTCCTAAATGCTTAGAAAGTTCTTTATTCCATTGACGGCCTGCTTGCTTCAAGCCATACAAAGATCTCTGTAACTTGCAGACCTGTCCTGGAATGGCTTTTGTGTAACCTGCTGGAGGTTTTTATGGTGTAACCTATGCTGGGGTAATCGAATATATATCAACTAAGGTCGATATCATCAAGAAAATCCGATGGGAGAACAAATGTATAATGTCATTATATGATATCCAATTTCGATGCAAGGAACGCACCCGCTTTAAGATTAGCCAAACCAACTGCCGTAAAACACATTATTCGAACCAATCACTAAATTGTTAGCCATAGGCGGACAAAACGCTTTCCAGTATAAATCTAATCATAATTGTGTATAAACCTTTGGGGCACTAAACGTAGCCTTATATTCCGGGTCACACTCCCCATCTGATTTGTAGCTTTACCTGTACATCCATTTTGAGAACCAATAGGTTTCTTTTAGCCCTTTATGGCAATATCATGATCGAAGCCTCACCAAGGATCTCTCAAGTATTTCTCCTCTAAGGCTACGCAAAGTTTCCTATATTGCATCGGCTTGCTACCATCTCACACGCGTCTTTATTAGATTGAACCTGAAAAGAAACAGGCTGCTGGAATCTTTTGACACATTGGATACAAAAGAAGTATATGATCAGCACTAAAGATGGCATAAGGATTGTAGGTAAAGTCAGAACGGGGAACGGAGAGTCAGAAAAATCACCGTGAGAGTAGATTGAGCTGAGTGAATTAGATGAATGTTATATTGGTAATGTGCTGCTGCGCCCCCCATGTGAATAGGAAATTATAATCAATCAGATAGGAACAAGAAAACAAAATCTTTGAAGGCCAAGATGGTTGTTTATGTGCACTCTATTACTCCCCTAATTTGACTGGATTTGAGTTAAATACTTATACTAGTTAATATAGTTTCATGTAGACCGTAATGCCACTATGTGCCAGTCTGAATATCATAATGATATCCTGAAATATCTGGATATAATATGACTCTCCTGAATATCTAATGAATCATGTAATTGGGTAAGCAAGTTTGAAGGTTCGGAAGAAGGAGAATTTGATAAAGAGGAATTATTTTCAAGATCATGATGAAAATCATTAACTGGTTCTAGTTTATTTGGTAAAATAGGTGTATCATAGGTAATGGAGTGGGAAATTTGGAAAGGAAATTGTTGTTCATGAAAAAGTACATCTCAAGAATGAAAAATGGTTTTAGAGTTAATATTGAACAATTTATATGCTTTATGGTTTTGGGAGTAACCAAGTAAAACTGCAGGTTGTGCTTTATGATCGAATTTTGTTTTGTGAGGGTTTGTATTTGTTGCAAAACAAAGGCAACCAATAGTTTTGAAATATGAGATATCAGGAGGTTTACCATTCAATTCCTCATAAGGTAATGAAAAAATAAATAAACGGATTCCAATCATTTTAAAAACAAAACGCGCATCCAAATTATGTTTTGAAAATTATGAGTTATATCGGGAAGCAGAGCGGGATATTAACCATTTCACAATTCTCACTCCAAAAACAAATGACAAAAGGAGAAAGACTTCCAAATCTAAAACCACAGTAAATCGTGGAGGTATTTATATTAACTCCGATAACTATGAGTTTCTGCCAATAGCACCATTTCCTTCCAGTCCGAACTTAAATTTTTAGGAAAAATTGACTGTCACAATATTGGAACATAAATGCCTTTTGCGCCATATTCTTCTATACGCTAACAAACATCATTATGAATTATTTCCTCCATCTAACAAACAATTAGTAAACTAGTTTTAGAGGTAGAGCAATGATAAGCTTATTCATTACGATTCTTATGAATGTCATGTGATTATATACCCACAAAGAAAGCGGATGAATATTTAATTCCTACATTGATATTCGAATGAACTACAGTGTCCATTGTCTATGATGTGTCTAACCTTTTGGCAGGAGCTTCAACGTCACAAATTAGTGTATTCGGTGTGCAATTAATCTAAGCAAGTAATACGATCTTACCAATTAGGGAATTAAAATGAAAACAAAACTTGATCGCTATGGTTATTTAGTTAATATGAGACAAATCAACCGCAGAATAGTTAGTCAGGACGCCCATCACAATTGAATACCTAGATTTATCTCCACTATAGTTACCACTGATTTTGCTCCGTTATAAAACCCTGAGTACAACACCCTCGAAGGACTAAGGAAAACCCACATCTAGAACACATGACTCTGCTCGATTAAAGACAGATATGTAAAATAAAATTTAGGAGACAACAGTTCCTCCTTAATGAAGTTGGTATTATGAGTAAGCTTGTTTCACGTAGATGTCTGTAACATTGAGTGGAGTCAGGAAAAATGGAGGAAATACTCTTGGATTGCTGTATTAGAAATTAATATGGGAACATTATTGAGCATACAATGTAACGAGTCCAATTCATCAATGCATCACAATGTCACCAAATTTCACCGAGCTCACACGTAAGATAATCTATATTCGCTTGAATTAGGATTAACATGAGGTCCTAGTGCTAATGAATGCGCTAAGAAGAGTATTAAGGAACATTTGTTGTACATTATTCTTACTATTTCGGTGTTATTGTAATAGTAGCACAAAGAATACTGACAGGTTCATACAATGTTTACTACTGTAAAAAATTAATGTCGAAAAGACTTCTTTAATTCAAACCAAATATAGGAACTCTTCATTATCTGCTAATGAACCAACTGGTCTAACTTCTCGAGGTATCACCTAGATAATTCAACGATGGAACGGAAGGTATCTGAATTAACTGCTGCGGGTCTAGGAAATCAGTCTGGAAAACTAATCCACACTAGATATGATATGCAATTTTACTTGGATCAATATGATTTAACTGTGCAATCTTTGGTTATTTGTTTGTAGAGAGATTACATATCTGCAATAAATTAGGTGTGGAGTTCAATATTATTCGCGTCAAATCAGTATGATGTTAAGTGTTAACTAAAACAATTATAACAGTCGAAGGTTACATTTTAATAGGTTACATTTGTGGTGAAACAGTGGAAAAGTAGTGAAAGTGGAAGTTCAGTCTTAAGAACTAGCATCGAATGGAGTAGCGATTTAACTAATAAAGGAAAGTCTAATAATCTCGAATAACTCAAAAATAAAAGCATTTGGGTTCATGCGAAAATTGTTTATGGATTAACTATAAAGGAATTTTGGAAGTCAAGAATGAAATATTTGTGAACAATGGTGGAGTGATCATTTGAAAATCAATATTAACTATTTTGCACAAGTAAAGAATGTAAAGGGACAATTGAGAGTCATAAATAATTGAACCGGATTTGACCACTGTCGGCACTTGGAATCACTAATGGATGAAAGACATGTTACTCTTCTCTCTGACCATTGAATGTCATTCAGAGAGGAACTAATAAAGATCGAGTATTGATCTATCCAAAAAAGACAGGAATACCGAGGCACGTCAAACAGGCACAGGTCAACTAAACGGTATTCCGTAGCAATGGGGTTAGGATTTTTCAGTTTATGGGGGTAGTAAATGGGATCCGTAGTAGGAAAAATCACCCGTTGATTGAGTATTGCTACATAATTTTTACCTTATTTTAAGTGTGTGCTTCCGGAGGAGCAGCATGCAAGAAGGAAGTTTGAGCTAGACTGTCATTATTGTAAGGCTAATTATATTCTCTCGCGCTTTATTATTATTATCAATCGAATAAAAAGTTATTTTATGTAAACAATCCTTACAATCTCCACTGAAGCTTGTGTTCGTGAGGTGCTGAACAGAGTCTATTATGTGGGATAATTGGGGGTAGTACAGATTTCATGGACTTGGTGTAATCTCTGTGATACCCTTAGTGAGTCGAACAAATTGCGGAAGATAGAGAAATAGTTATGTAGATATTATGGTAGCACAATGAAGCAAGACATGTGAGATAAGACAGGTGACGTGAAGGATTCACAACATCGACTCTGGAATCTCTGTAGTCTTACGCATTCACTATGTCTCTTATTCCTGATAGCTCACATAATCATCAGTCGTAACCACGTAAGTCCCTTATATTTAAAGGCTTTGCTGGAAATTGAGTTACCTCAAGGCTCACAATTTTCTTTCCTTGAATCATAAATCATAGACCTAAAGTTAATAGTTAATTAAATGAGTTAATATTAATTAAATTAGAAGTTAAAACACAAAATTGTTTAGTAAGTGAATTAAATTGAATTAAATTAGTTAATGATAAAATATTTCGTTTTTTATGCGAGAACTCAAAAGGAAAGATATCCATGCTGATATGCAGCGATATAATGTCGAGTTGTTAACGATAAGAGCGAATGTAGAAAAGACACTGATGCCAGATAAGGTTTTGTTTTACCGATATTCTGATGGAGCTAAATTAAGAAACCTCGTGATCAACAAGAAAAAGGTGGAGATTCTTTTGTTCCGTGAAAAAAAAAGAAAAATTTGACAAGGTAAAGTAAGAACGAATTGTTCATGCTCTTTTCTTAGCTGTAGGCAGGAGAAGAATAGAGAGTCGCTATAGGTATGGTTTCTCCCCGCCGGAAATCGCCCTTTGTTGGGGGTAGCTAATAAAATACGGTAGGACGAGGCGGAGTTGAGAGAGATGGTCTTGAGAGAGCGGAGAGGTTGCCGGGAAATGGATAGCAAGAAACTCTTGAGTGGCTTAGGAGTGAGAGATATTTTTATTTTATTAGATGAGTCAGAGATTATGTAAAAGCTCAAATCATATGTTATCATGAATGCACTGTCATATGTATACATAAAAAAGAAGAGAGCATAGTAACATACAAACCTATATTCATATGATTGAGAATTATGTCTTAAGTAAGAAGTATTCTTCAATGTAGAAATAGAGATAAGCTGGCGTGTAGGTTCATTAGTCAGGTTGCAGCTTCTCTTTTCATATTCTGGATCATCAAATGAGAGTTTTTCCCTAGATATGACAATGTCAACCACTTTAGTAAATAACCATAAGTGATAGTATATAGAGAACCAATTATCCGTTCCTAACTTTATTTAATCTAAATCTAATAAATTATACTTCAATTAATAGTCATGATGATAGGATAATCCTATAATCGTGTGAGAACATGTCTCCCTGTGTAGTGGCTTTAGGTAATAAGTTAAAATTTAAAATAGTTTTTAGAATGATTAGTACTTTAAATAAGATACTAAATTTAGATGTTCTATAAATTAATGATAAAAAGTATATAATCACTGAGTTATATTAATACGACTTATATATTACACAGTACGATAGTTAAATATAGATTAATAAATATATTAATATTAAATATTAATATAATTACTAGCTCTTCAGTCTATTTAGAATAAATTTTAATTAAGTATAATAGAGTTAAATATTTATAATTATAATAATAAAAATAATAGATAAAAATATAACAGGTTAGTACATTATAACATATTAACCGAGAGGTGCCCATTCTCTATGAAATTCCTTAACAAACACACACTCCTCCATTTTTTGGGTGCCTTTAGTGGGCTTAGTAAATGTTTCCGGCAAGGCATAGTGGGCCTCTTTCTCTTCATATCTTTTCTAAGAAAAAGAAGAGTTGTTAGATCTGGATTAGGCGCGAAGAGGGTAGATTCATTTAGTTTTTTTTCAAGACTTAAACTGTGGATCATAGAAACAGGATGATTATTAGTATATGGGAATGGACAGGATATCTATATGAATACAACATATACACATGCAGGCAGCTCCCTTCAGACATAAAACAATAATGTAAGAAGTTTCTTAGCATGGGCCGGAAATTATTATTATGAAGTAATGAGCATATTTGAAATAACCCACTCGAGAGATTGGGCGGAGTTGCCGTGAAAGAGGGAATGGCCAACACACCAACGATTTTTAGGAGATTAGAGGTGCAGGGGGCTACCTTTTTAAAAATATTTAAAAAAAAATAGAATTCATACATAATTCTTCTAAAGATTGCACATCGAAAAGAGTCGAGTTGATGATATAAGTTACTTTCAAAAAAAAAAAAGTCAGCAGGTATGAAGATTCAGACTAGAATTCAAGCAGTAAAGATAAAGAAAGTTTCAATTTCTCTTTGCTATGGCTAGTTCCCCACTTCAAATAAAAAGCAAGACTTAATTCTTACTCCTTAATCATGGCAGATATTGGAGCATCAGGCGATAACGTGTTAATGGTATAAAGACACTTATATAGGCGGATGGCCTTTGGTTCTACAATTGTCACAAAACTGGTTCTCCTTTCCAGTACTCTCTCTTCTCTTACAATTGTTCTTACTATCCTTAAAATTGCTTTTCTTGTAACCTAAATTACCCTGAGCAAGCATAATTGCAGAAGATTCACTAGATTCAACAGTAAAATGGTTCATTTCTCTTTGCTTCTCCACATGCAAGACCATTGAATAAGCTTTATTAACTGATGGCAAGGGATCCATCAGTAAAATTTGATTCCTCACGTGATCATAACTGTCATTTAGGCCCATAAGAAATTGCATCAACCTTGCATCGTTCTCAAAATCCATAAAGAATTTTGCTGCACCGCAACCACAAACAGGAAACTTCTTTAAACTAGCCAATTCATCCCACTTTTGTTTAAGTTTCGTGAAATACACTGTTGTTGAGTAATTTCCTTGGCTAAAACTACGAACCTCCCTTGTGATCTGGTAAAGCTCCCTTGTGATCTGGTAAAGAAGAGGTCCATTACTATCACCATATCTTTGAAACAATTCATCCCAAAGTTCTTTGGCTGAATTTGAATATAGAAAAGCTTCAACGATATCTTTCGATATCGAGTTCAAAAGCCATGAAACTACCATACTGCCTGTTCTCATCCATCTCTCATACACAAGAGAATTAGAGTTAGGTTTCTCATACCTTCCATTAATGAAATCCAGTTTATTCTTCGCTCTGAGAGCTATAGTTATGGATCTGCTCCAAGAGTGATAATTGCTTCCATTCAAAGGTACACTGACTAGATTCAGTCCAGGATGATCTGAATTAGTTAAATTCAGAGGATCACTAGTCAATTCAGCTTCTGATCTTGCAATCTGAGATCTGTTTGGCTCCAAATCATCGGGATTCGTCATTTGCTCTGATTGATGCAGAAGAAAAAGAATTTAAGATCAAACTTCAGTAACCTAATGCTCTGATACCATGCCTAATGCTCTTGATACCATGATGAGCTTAATTCATGGCAATCATAGTCAAGAAGAATGGCAATCATAGTCAAGAAGAAGAAATCAACTGAGAAAATCAAATCATTTTCTTGAGAGAGAATGGAAAAATACAAATACAAAGAGAGATGTTTTCTCATACAGATCTCTATCGCTCTTTAACTAAGAAACAATAACTGTCAGTGCCAGCTGACAACTTATTGAAAATAAATTAGAGCCACAAGATCAAAACAAAATTCATATCAATATACTTTCACCTGCCCTAACATCAAGGCATCCTTTTTCTTTGCCTTTTTGTCTTTTTGTCCAAGTATAACATAATCCCAATTACATCAGGTGTTGTATGATTTATGTACAATGATTAATACATGATTAGTGTTTTGCTATAAGAGAGTTTTATCCCCTTTTCTTGCCTAGTTGATATTGTGACTTCCTGTTTGACAGTTCATATTGAATCTGAGCATCCTTTTTGCTTCATTGTTGTTGCTAGTTAAGAGAATGAACATAGCCGTAATAGAAAACGATTTTCGAACCACTGGGTATCTATTCTTATAGTATTGTTAGGGGAAAACGATTTTCGAACCACTGGGTATCTATTCTTATAGTATTGTTAGGGAAGTCGATAAGCTAATTCTTATAGATATATTTGCGACAGTCTCAAGTCAGACGAGCTCCAAATTAGTTGCTTTTCTAGTTTGAGCTACTAAACTACTACACACTATTGGACTTGAATTAGTCAGACTTATGGATGGAAGTGATATCGTTGCTCTGATCCATTCAAAGAGGATATGGGTAGGTATAAATAGGTTTGAGATGGGTACGGATAATGAAATTATTACCTGTTATGGATGCGGGTAGAGTACAGATATAGATTTTTAGATATCCGTTACCGTTGCCCACTATATTAAACATGTTTGACAATAGGCACCCATAGTTATCCTATCCCAATAGTAAAAAATGTATTTTCAATAAGTTCAGATTTAGAGAGTATAAGATTCGTGGATACCTTACTCGTATAAGGGTATTTTAAATGAGTTTTGAAAGGATAAGGATAGTAAAAATTTAAATGGGTTCAGATACGAGTATTTAATTGGATATTTAAATAGATTTAAAATGAATATAAATAATAAAATTTTAAATGAATACAGGTAGCTTAAAATTTGTCGGGTGCCGCCTGCTCTATCCCTACTCAGACTAATCTCATGCATTAAGAGATTTCAAACAAGCTACTTATAAGCTACTAGAGGAGGAAGCAACGATTTTCTTGAGAACTCCAAGAGATCAGTAATCCAAGAGATCAGTAATAAATAGTATTACACACAGTTGATCATTTTTTTTTTATCATCAATAGGATTTGCCCCAATTTATAAGCAGTTTTATAAGTATTACTATGAACTGGCTTAGAAACCATAAACCAGTAGTACTTTTCAATTTAGCACAGAATTCCTTTAACCAACAGCCCAATGAACCGTTCTAGGGATTATGCAGGAACTGATTGAGCTTGTTCACTGCCAAAAGCTATGGACAAGACGAATGATAGTTGATACTTGTCAATTGGTCAACTTGCTATGTTGAGTTGAATTCCCCACCGCAAGTACTGTTACTATTCAAAATTCTTCTGATAGTGGGTAGGAAGAGCCTCAAACTGCAGGCCTCTCTCAATATATATATGGTTGTCAACGACTTACTCCTTAAACACCCATCCTCAGTTGACTGTCATTGGTCAACTGCTATGTTGAGTGGAATTCCCCACCGCAAGTACTGTTACTATTCAAAATTCTTCTGATAGTGGGTAGAGAATCATATCCAAGGTGTGCAAGCCACTCTTGATGGCCTCGTTTATATTCTTTATACTCTTTTTTACTCTTTTTTTATTGATAGACAAACGGATTTAGAATATTTGGTTCAGTAATGCATACGAATAATAATTTAATGAAAAAAAAGGTAAAAGTTTAACGGAGAAAACTCAAATTATTGTTATAAACACTGAAATTTAAAAAACCAGTGGGGCAGTTGACCCAACTCCTATTATAGATTCTTCCATCTGGACAAAAAGTGATATTATAATTAGCTCCACTGGTGCAAGAAAACAGCTTGTTGAATGATCATAAGGGCAGCTATAAGCTTGATGACACTGATTCTTGAAAAACATTGAATAATTTGTGGGTTTGCAAGTATTTGGAGTACTAGAGCTTTCTGTACAACAATATTCTGGCTGATTAAATACTTCACATGCATTTTTGCAGCCAATCACAGAATTTCCACTTTGCCCTTTAACAGCTAACTCGTTAGGGCAATCGGAGTTCACATCTCTTGCACAACTAGCAGTAATGCAAGTATTACCGGAACCGCCACGTGGAGAGATCTCTTGCACAACTAGCAGTAATGCAAGTATTACCGGAACCGCCACGTGGAGAGATTGACACTGGCACGTTAAAACCATCGACAAGACAAATATCGTAGTAATCTCGATCGCCTTTTTCTGCCAAAGTGAATTCTACAAGAGTAAAGAGCAGGATGATTCCTCCGACATCGTCACACGAAATTTGTCCGGAGCCAGAATCTCCAGTTGCACATATGAACTTTCCGGTTGAATTTGTGGAACATCCTGTCCGGCCCCAAAGCCGTCCAGTGAACAGAGCCCGAAAATTTACGGATTGGGTTGCTTTTGTCAGTAACTCAAAGCCAGTCATTGAGAGTTGAGGCCCATTGCCGAGGCTAGGAGTTGCCAACCAGACTTTGCATGCACAATTGTTGGAGACAGTTATTATTGCTGAGTGAAGTCCTACATTTGCATATGATTATATGATTAGATATTATTAATTTAAACTAAGGATCATATAAGCATGAAGAAAAGGAGCAAGAGGATGGCTAGAGTTTTCATGATTTTTCTATGATCACTGCTCCTCTTCACTTAATTTGGAAATAGGATTTAGGCACCACACGACGCGTAGAAGACCGCATCGTGTAATATGGTGTGTGACTCACCTCCGTGCGCGTTGCATAAACATTTAAAAAAATATAACATAACAATACATCATATAGAGTAGGTCAGCAACCTAAAGTAAGGTGTATTCCTTTTCGTGATAAACCTAAGAATCGATAGTTCCCATGTTATTTTCTTCGATGAAAGATCATACAACAAATAAATGGAGAAGAGAGCTTTTGGAATCGCTCATACACAGTAAAAGAGAGAGCGTCTAAAAAGATGAATTACATAATTAGACCTATCCTGATCCATCATAGATAGAAGGACATGTATACATTCTGAAAAAATTTTTAATGGGCCTGGTAAGAGCTTAAGCATGGTTATTTGTAATTCTTTTAAAAATTTAATATTTTCCAAAATTATTATTTATTTATTTTTTTTTAGTTTGCATTTTTTTTCAAAAATTTAGTCTGAGCTAAGTATTGATTGTGGCGACTTGAAATTTGACCTTGATCTTGGTAAAGTTTACTTTTGTTATTGCTTTGTGTTATTATCAAAATTAATATTAAAAGGGAACGGAGTGTGCATTAAAAAAATTTGAAAATTTTTTTTTTGTTTGAAATTGAAAATGGACTTAAATATTATTAGAAATTCAGAAATCAATACCATTTATAATCAGAAATCAATACATTATAAATTAAAGATGGTGACATCATAGTCCATTCCATCAAACCGGACGTAAAACCTGAAATTATGAATTGAATTTTAATAATTATAAGAGGTAATTAATATTTAGCAGAAATGTTAAAATCGTTTAATAGTTAATTACCAAAAACATGCTAAGATATTAAGATTTAATAATGTCACAAATAGGGATGATTATGGTTCGATATCAAATCAAAACTGAACCGGTCAAAACCGGTGCTTAACCGTAATCAACAGTTTTGTTCTAAAATTACAATCAAAACCGTGAACTTAAGGTTCAGTTTTGATTCTTCATTTTTTGAAACCGAAATCGGTGGTTCCGATTTGAGACCGTGAAAAATATGTTCTTAAAAAAAACCTGAACTTTTTTTTTTTATTATAGTTTTTTAAAGTAATTTTTAAGAAATTTATTGAATTGATTTAGTGTTTTTCAATAGTAATATTTATTATTATTATTTTTTTCAATAGTAATATTTATTATTATTATTTATTCAAGCTACAAATCTTTAAAAAATATTTTAAAAATTTAAAATACATTATTCAATTTTGATTCAAAATCGCAAAAAGTCTAAACCGGTAGTTCCAAAACCGTTTTAGAAATCATCTAAAAACAGTTCGATTCCGATTCCACCTTTTCTATAATTGGAATTGACAATTTTGAAATCGAAACGGACGGTTCTGGAACCATGGTCATGCTGGTCATGCCTAATGCCAAAGATATAATAATTTAAATTTAATTATCAGAGAGCCGACATTTTTTATTGAAATTTTAGGATGCAAAATGATGCTGCCTCTGTATTTTAATGAATTTTGATTGTTTAATGATAATATAATCATATTAAAATTACGATGTTATAAATTTAAACCCCAATCAATTAAAAAAGGTTAAAGAATTTAATTTTAACTAATGCGTTGACTTTAATCCTAATTAATCTTAGAAAGTGTGTTATTCAATATACATGATAAAAAAAATAACAAAAATGGCACCAAAATAAAATATTTAAGAAGAAAGAGATGATGGAAATTCACTCAATTCTATACATTCCAACCAAAATAAGCATTTCACCGCTAAAATACCCCGCTAAAATACCACAATTTGAATGTATCATCTATAGATGCATCATCTATAGATGCGCGCATGCTATGAAAGATGGAAAAAATTTGCATAAATTGGGTCTAATTTAGGGGTGTCAAAACAGGTTGCTGTGTCGGGTTTGACACAGATTCGCCTAACACGCGACACAATTAGGGTCAACATGAACATGATCCGTTTAATAATCGTGTCAAATTTCTCAATGCGAACACGACATAAGAATTAAGCAGGTGACATGAACACGACACGTGTAATCCGCCTAATATCATAAGCAGGATAAGTGGGTCGTGTTGACCCGTGTAATACGCCTAATATCCTAAATAGGTTAAGTGGGTTGTATTGACCCGTATATAACCCACTAAACTTGCTTATGATATTTTTAAGTTTTAACCTATTTAACTCAAATCATATCTAAAAATAAATTTTATACATAAAGTGTATAGATTCTCCAAGATTCATAATTAAAATAACAATAAATTTTAAATAGGATTTTAGCTGAGTATTTATATTTGACACTAAAATTATCTCTTTATCCTAAAGTAAATGGGTCACTCGTCTAACTCACGTGTCAACCTGTGACGCAACATGTTTATATTCGTGTCATAAACAGGTGATACACTTGTTTGTGACACGAACCCCTTTAACCTCAATCCTAATCCATTTATTTCACGTATTAGATAAATCGTGTTCACGAGTCATGACCCATTTTAATACCCCTAGGGTCTATGGTCCCATTTATGGAACAAACAAATGAGATTAAATATTTTTTTTAAAAGCATTCTGACTTTATCTTTATTTTCCAAATGTATGGTCCGAAATGCTTTCATTTTAATAAAAATCCTTAATTTCATTGGTTTGGTCCATAAATGAGGCTATGATCCGGTCTAGGTAAGGTTTTCCATAAAATACAAGGCCAAAATGTTTTAATTGGAGGATTAACTAATTAAGTAATGGGTGGTGAAATTTGATTAATTATGGTTCATTCAATTACATTCACATTAAGGAAATTATTTACCTGGATTCGGTCAATGAGCCAACCCAATAAATTAAATCAACAAAAAAAAGAAATTTTTATTGAATGTGTTACTTCTACTATACACGGAAAAAAAAAAAAAGAAGTATAAAGTGTAAAACAATATTTAGAAATGGATAAATTATAAATTCACTCCTTAACTTTGCAATTTTTAACTTTGTGGCACCCTGAACTTTGTGAATGACCCATCGTCCACTTAAACTTACAAATTTTGATAACATTGCATATAGTTCCATGCTGATAGTAATAGTTTTTAGGATTTTTTACTATTACATGCAAAATATTGATTCGATGTATAGTTAGCATAATTTTTAGAACAATAATTTTCACTTTTTTTTTAACTATGTAATAAATATTTAATTGATTTAATTTTACAAGTTGAAGTGTTTAATAAAATAATCTTAAAAGTTGAAGTGTTTAATAAGTGCAATTTTATAAGTTAATGTATTTAATATATCGAAGTAAAAATTGAGGATGTCACAAGGTTAAATTCGCAAAGTTCAGAGGTGAATTTATATATTCAACCATTTAAAATTTTCTATTTCATTAGTTTGATTCATGAAGATACATATAGGTTCAATTTTTACAAATCAATCCTTCAATTAATACCCTTCAACCCGTAATAGAAGCCACACAAACATAAATCAAGAGACTCAACAACTACAAACCCATTTACAATCTCGTCACGAGAGTTAAAAATATTATCTCCAAAGAAAAGATGAGCAAGATATGGAAATTTCTGCCTTTTTTGGAAATTTCTGCCTTTTTTTGAATGCAAATTGCTAAGCAGATTCAAAGTTGTAGGACCAAATTAGGGACAGCTGATTGTACTTTCATCACTGAAATTTCCAACTTTATTCATAAACAGTATATACAAACTTTTGTTTTTTTTGGCTTCAAACACCAAACCGTAACTAATAGATAGGCAGTATCACAATCTTATAATCTTTCGAAACCATCAGTTTTAATTTTAAACAAGGGTGAAAAAAAGGTTTCTTTTAAACATTATTTCAAAAACTAACTATAAAGTCATTAATTTATAATTCCATTAATGCGTTAGTCCTTTCATCTAAAATAGCTTCTTTTATTTATCAATTGACTAAGAAATCGGCCTCCAAATTATAGTCAAACTAACTATTAGATCTCTAATATATAATCTATATTAACACTTTAATCATCTGCTTATGATTTTCATTAATACTTTGGTCCCTCTCTCTGTTTTGAACTATATGATCAAAATATTAACAAATCATAATTTAAGGATCTCATAGTTAGATTTTGAAAAAAAGGTACTCATATATTAATTTGACTACAAGTCCAGGATCAATTTATTTTTTCTCTTTAAAATCTAATTGTTTTTCTAAAGGAGACTTATTTTCCTTTTTTATTTGTCTTCTATTGTAAGTCATTCTCTTTTTTAAAGATACAATTAATTTCTTAATTCTTTAATATATCACTAATTAGTATGTTCGTTTACCAATAATTTTTCGACTATGTTCTTTATTGAAATTACTAATTAATATTAATAGAAGGCTAAATTTGAAAAAATGTAGGTAAAATTTATTGTTCAAACAATATTAAGTACTTCTTTTTAATATGAAAATAGAAATGAGTTTTTCTTCGTGGGATGAAGGGAGTATTATTCATGTGAGATTCATCTTCCAAATACTGCAAGCATTCAGCCTCTAAACTAACAAATTTATTAAAAAATTCAAACTCAATTTACGTGAGATGAGACTCAAAATTAAAACTCAAAACTATAAATGATCGTTCAATTTGCTACCACTGGTGTAACTGTGAAAGCAAAATCAAAAGCAAAATCATGAGGACTTTTTGGCTTGCGGAATCTAATCTAGCTGTCTTCCTTTGCGAAATATTGCAAAGCAGTCTTCCTTTTCTTCATGGACAGAAAGTGATATCATAATTAGCTCCACCAATGCAAGAAAATGTGCTTGTCAAATCATCACAAGCATAGCTATAAGCTTGAGGGCACCCATTCTTGAAAAACATTGAATAATTCGTGGGTTTGCAAGTAGTTGACGTATTAAAGTTTTCTGTGCAACAATATTCTGGGCGATTAAATGCTACACGTGCACTTTTGCAACCAATCACAGAATTTCCATCCGGCCCTTTAACAGCTAAGTCATTAGGGCAATCGGAGTTCATATTTCTTGCACAGCTAGCAGGAATGCATGTATCACCGGAGCCACCACGTGGAGAGACTGACATCGGCACATTAAACCGTCGACAAGACTAACGTCGTAGAAATCTTGACCACGGTTTTGGGTAGATTAAATAAGTTGTATTCCATTAGCATCAGCTATAGTGTTCTTTGTTTTTTTTTTTTTTTTTTTTTTTTTTTTTCAGTTGGAGACTTGAGAGAAATGAAAAATGGAATGAACAAAAAAGAAATGTGTAGTCGGAAATTTTTAAGAAATAAAAGTGGAGTGATGTCAAATTTCTAAATTAAATTTTAAATTTTTATATTATAAATTTTTTACTTGATCAAGAGTGTATTTAAACATGCCCTTCAACAGAAATAAAAATTATAATTTTATATTCTAATTTAAAAAAAAAAGAGCCATCAAGAGTCATTTATCAAATAATTAAACTTTTTAACTTTTAAATATTACTTATTATCAATAACAGAAAGAATTTAAAAATATTAAAAATAATAATAGAGATTGTCCTTAATATTAATTCAAATTCTCTCATCCACATAAATGTATGAAGTTAATCCAAGTTCAAGGTCAAGAGTGAACTTATTTTTTATTTACAATTTAAATCTTAATTATAATTTAAGGTGCTATTACAATAAAAGGTCAAAATTGAAGATGAAATTGGTATAAAAATCAAATTGGAATGAAATTGTAATAAAATATTAAAATTTAATGAAAATTAGTATAAAAAACAAATCGAAATGAACAAAACGTGAAATTGAGAGTGAAGCAATATATTAAGTCATTAAAATATTATCTCCAAAGAAGAGAAGGGCATGAAATATACGGTTGAGTTGTAGGAGCACAATCAAAGTTGTAGGAGCACATTAATTAGGCACGGCTGGCAGGTGAATGTCACCCGTTAATTTCGGTTTTCATCAATTAAAATTTCCACCTTTAATTGGACTTAGAAAAACAATAAACCTTTCATCTTGCAATTTTTAACAAGGAGGTCAACAGGTCCATGTCCATTTAACGGTCCACACAATCTGAATGTTTTTTGTTCGATTCAAAAGGCAGGGGAACTAAGTCATTAAACAATCAAGTAATAAATTTATAGGCTAATTGTAGATAAAAATTTTAGAGAATTGAAATTAACGTCTCATATAAAAAACCAAACTCATCATTTTCACAAGAAGCAATTTTCTTCAATCCTCAAAGGAAGTAGAAGTAATTAAATATTATGTGTTATTGCAAACTCCAAATGCCAATATAAGTGACTAAAATAAAGATGAAAATTAATAAGTGGGAATTGTATTGAATAGTACTAAGAATTAAGAAAGTGACGAAGTCACCGAGAATTTGTCCACTATAAAAAATGATTTTAATATTCTTAATAAATATACTAAAATATTAATTTTTTTTTTCCAAATTTGAGGGAGCCTATTGTGCCCTTGGCCCATTTTGGGTTCGTCCTTGGCCACAAATGCCGAAGCAAAGTTAATCTTATAACAAAAAAATAGTGGCTTCACCTACCAGCTGTGGTTAAGTTGGCAACGCATGCCAAATATATAGGAAGAGCTCTCGAATTTGATTCTCATTAAATATACCTGCAGGAAAAGGTAAAGAGCCTTAACTGTGACTAAATTCCGAGCCGAATTAGGTGGTCCCTGGTAATAAGATCCGGATAGCATTAAATGTGACTAAACCCAAAGCTGGATTAGATGGTACCTAGTAATAGGTTCTGGATAACTGTGATTAAGTCTAAGCCGGATTAGGTGGTCCTGGTAATAGGGTTCGGATATTGATGGTTTACACTAAAAAAAAATAGTTGCTTCAAAAATCAAACCCTAACTAATATATATATTGACATGATCCTTATTTTAAAATTGCAGGTTTTCAATTTCAAAACCAATTGTAGATTAAAAACATTTTGAATTTTAATTTTATAAAATTATAATAAAATAAACTGTTTTTTTCTTTGATTTCACAATTCTTTCATCACAATTCTTTCATTTCTTTATGTTAATGATTTCAAATCGGAACCACTAGCAATAAATTCAAATAGTTGGTTCGGGTTTAAAAAAATTAGGAATTAGAACCTATGTTAGGCACACAATCTCAATTCTAGTTTGAAATCAATTGAGCATCATTGATCAAAGTCTAATTCTAATTTTTACTTTTGATTTTGGTTTGATTTGAATTTGAAATTGAACCATCATAGTATAAGATACACAAAATATTATGTTTTGCACAAAATTGAAACAATTAAAACATTTTCCAACTTTTACACCAAAGGCATAATGTAATGGTAAGTGCATATAGGACCTGCAATAGACCCAGATTCGAATCTCCTTTTTGTTATTAAAAAAAAACACATTTCCCAACTTTTCATTTTTTATTGCCTACAAATAAATAGTCCCAAAACAATCATGGGCAAAATGTGATAAGATAATTTGCTCCACCACTACATGTAAAAGTGCTAGTCTTATCGTCTTGCTCACCACTACATGTAAAAGTGCTAGATCTTATCGTCATAAAGCATAAACTATAAGGCTGAGACAATTGTTGCTTGAAAATCAGTGAATATTTCGTCGGCGACATTTTTATGGTCTGTACCAAAACTCTCCGTGCAATACAATATTGCGTTGATTAAAATGTTAGTAACACATGCACTACTTGAAAGCAATAATCCCAACCTATCTCCCAGTTAACTGCAAGTTCTATGATGGACAATGCGGATTCAAATAACCCGGAAAAACCGTGCCTTACACTCACCGGCACCAAGCCTTGTGGGGTCACCGAAATGGGCAAGTTAAAGCCATCAACAAGACTAACATCATAAAAATCCCTTCCATTGTTTGGTGCTATAGAGAACTCTACAAGAGAGGTAGGTGGACTTCCGGCAACACCGTTACATTGGACTTGGCCGGTGCCACAGTTTGCCGTGGCACAGTTGAACTTGCCGGAAGCGTCTGTAGTGCAACCGGTACGAGCCCAGAACCGGCCGCTCCATGGTGGCAAGGCAGTTAGGGTTAATGATGCTTTGGAGCCTAATTCGAAGCCAGTCGAAGACAATTGAGGGCCACTGCCTGCCAAGTTTGCCGGCCATATAGTGTAAGGGCAATTGTTTGTGATGGTGAATGTTGTTGCTTGAGAACCTGCATGCAAAATTAGAGCTATTAATTTCTTGCAAAATCATTAGTTTTTAAATGGATCTCGTAAATCATCATTGTCTTCTAAAAGAAAAATCACAATCACTCGCTTCCTTTTAAATAAACATTGATGTTATATAATAAACTATTTGTCTATTGCGGATCCATATAACAAACCAATCAAAAATAACTCTTTGGTTGAAATAATGGTATTTCTGACTATTAACGAAAAAAAAACAAAAGAAAAAAAATTTATGGATTGAGTTGGTATATGGATCAAGCGTAGACAATATATATATAATATATATATAATAATATATAATATATATATATATATATGTATATATATAATTATTTACCATTAAATATGTTAGATTAAGAGCAAAAATATTTAAATCATTGCTTGAAAAAAGTAGATTATAAAGAAAGAAAAAACAAGAAAACCAAACCTATATGATTTTTTTTTTTTTTTAAGAAATAACAAGGAGGTTATTTACTAGAGAAGAAGAGGACGATAAAGGGAATGCCAAATATTGCTTCAATCGCCATTCTTGAGACTTCTTTGGTTATTCCTTTTTTAAGATAATTTTTTTGGGTCGAGATTCGTTTTATGTTGGACGAAACCCCCATATATAGGTAGGGCAATGCAAATCCCTACTTATATATAGAGTTGCAAAAGGCAATTAGTTTAGCAAATCCATATAAGCATGACCTCTATATAATTTCCATTAGATTGTGTCTTAATCTAGTAAAAAAAAGGTAAACTTATGGTTTCAAAATTCAAATCTATGCATTCTATAATGGTTAGTTTTCTAATTTTAAGTTGGCTAGTTTCCTAATTTAAGTTGGTTTGCTATTTTGGTAAGTATTTATTTTAATAAGTTGGTCAGTCCAGTGTTGCATCTTGTGCATATTGCTTTTGGAGTATATCTCCTTGCTTGGTAAGTAAATCTCAATAATTTTTTTTTAAGTGATATGAATCTATTTCAAACCAAAACATAAAATATATCATTTTAGTATTAGAGGAATTTTCAATTTAAGTAAAGAGATTGAAAATTTTAAGTAAAGAGAGGAATTTTCAATAGCTTACCAAATGAATTACAAAACATGACAATTTCTTATAAAAGTTAAAAGAATAATATATTCTTTTATTATTCTATTTATCAGCCTGTTAGCCCAACCATCACATGGCTCAGCATTTTGATGTAATACTTTAAGAGTTCAGCTTAGACTAATATTATATTCGTTAATAACTTTTTAAGTAATATTTAGTGTTTTAACCAGTCAAAACGGTAAAGGCTATTTTTTATACTAATTCATGTAAGGCTTGGCTTTTAACGGTTTATAAAAAGCTACTGAAACAGCGAACAACTAAATGCACGTTTTATGAAAAGCTACTGAAACAACTAACAACTAAACGCTTCTAGAACAACTAACAGTGACCAAAACATCTAATTTTGCCAAACAGACCCTAATACAATAAGGCCCGGGACACGTAGGCTCAAGTCAGGAATTGATTTGATTCTTATATGATTCTAAATATGCTCTTAAGTGAATTTCTATAAAGGCTCTCTGAGTCTCCTTTGTTCATTTTAAAATAGATATTTTTGTTTGGAAAGCTTATTTAGATAGAATCCCAGTAAAATTATAATTTGGAGGATTGTGCGTGCCCTCCATGCGAAAAGGAAATCGAAACTCCTGATATCATTGTTTGACAGAATGTGATTTGGCTCACAATGTGCAGAATTCTTTTCTTGGTGGAATATCTCAATATCGCTTAGGTTGGCAATGGGAAAGCATGGTCACTGTAAGGAGTAACAAAAGCAGCTTGGATGGGTGTCTCACCTCCCGTTTAAAGATTAGATAAGAGATTAAAATCTTTTTTGGGCTAGGCAGCAATTACATTGTCCTCTCCAAAATAGTAATTCCACGACTCAATTTTGCTATCACCGTGGTGGGATCTAGTATGGTTTACCCACTAGATTAAGCTATCTTGGGTTGGATGCTTTTGTTTTTCATTGTAACTTTGTCGCTATGGTTGGGAAAACAAAGTCTTATTTAGCTCTACCATACGAAGAAGTAATTAACAATATAAAATTCAGAAGTTCAAGTGTAAATGTCCGTCCCTTTCTTATGATGTTAAGACTGGTATTATGAACCTTTAACAATAGTTAGTAGCTGAATGGTGTCTGAAAATACATTCTATATATGATGAAATATCATTTGCGTTGGGTACCTCTAACTGGTACTAGCTTTAAATTCAATTTCGATAGAGCCAATATAGTATTGGACAAATTTCAACTTAAATAGAGAAAAAGAAAATTTTATGAATCATTATCCTTGCAATAGCTTACTAAATGAGTTTTAAAACTTGACAATTTCTTGTTAGAATTTAAAAGAACAAAATATTTTTTTATTTTTAATTGTTCTATTTATCAATCTTCAAGCCAAAACCATCAGATGGCCCAACTTTGGCCCAATAGTTTAACGGTTCAGCCCAATTCAACAAGGCCTAAAACAAATAGGCTTATGTCAGGAATTGATTTTGGCTAAAAATGAAAATTTGATTTTGAATGATAAATTCATATTTAAATAATGAATAACAATTAATTCATCCATCAAGCACTTCGAGCAATCATCATTAGCATTATCATTATCATTATATTATTTTTTTTTTTTAATTATTTTTATTAATTTTTATTTGGATTTATTTATGTTTTTAATAAATACTTTCTTGAATTTCAATTACTTGATTTGAAAGGTTTTTAATTAGGAAAATAGCCAAAATTTGCATAAAAAAAAATTGGAGCTAAAAATTAAAAATAAAAGTTCAACAAGACCAAGTCAGTAAAGTACACCATCTAACCGTTTCAGATGCCACGGCCGTATCTCCAAGAAAGCTGAAAATTCAAGTGGCCTAAAATTAATTATTTATCCCGTGTAGAATTGAAGCATGGACATGTCTTGTGCATAGAGCTGCATGAAAATAATAGAGCTGCCCTATTTGGTAAAAAGAAGACTCATAATTGGGAAGAAATACAACACAAAATCAGTTTTCTATTCAAATAATATTTCTTCATAATTAGTTCAGCTAGTTTCCTACTTGGATTCAAAGACACCTTATGAAGTCTGTATAAAGAGAGATCACAATAATAATTAAAGCATCAGGGATCATGGATCTTAGATCTTTGTTCTACTCTTTTCTTAGTTTTCTTTTTTTTTAAGACTTCGAGCATTCAAGTCCGTGTAAAGAATCAAGGAAGTCGTCTACGCTATTCATTTACTAATTTTATTTCTAAACTCTTAATCTTGTTTCTAATTTTCATTATTCATATTGACTATGCAATTATTTTCAACTTTAATTGAATTTTATTTAATTACTATGTCAATTAAATTTTCATATTAGGGATTTATTGTAGCTTAATTTCTATTCTAATTTATAATGTTAGATTTATTTTTCCTTGTTTAAGGTATAATTTATTATAGAACTTAATGTTTCCTGGCAGAGTCTTCCCCGAATTGATTTATTTCATTAATCACTATCGGGAGAATGGTTTTTGATATAAAAAAGGTAATAAATTACATGGAATAATAACTTGATGCAAAAGTTATATGATTTGACTCATGAAGGATTTTCATAAGTTAACTACCTTAGATTATGAATTCATAAACAAATCATAAAACTTAATGATTTAATTTATGTTTGATTGCGCTACTGGAATATAGGTAATTATTCAGGTTAAAATAGCTATAATACATCAGGAGAACTTGTTAGCGATTTTAGGATTTTAGAGTTGTTTCGATTTTTGAAAAATCAAAATTGATTATAAATTAATAAAATAAATTGGATATAATTAAGTGAAGTCAAAATTCCTAGTAGTTTTTAATCCTTAATATTTTTTCAACAATTGCTTGCTTAAGTTCTTTTTCATCGCTTTATTTTATTTATTTTATTTTTAAAATTATGCTCCTTATTATCGTTTAAAATAACAGTATGTTAACATAATTTTGGTACTTGGTATACAATTCTCGTGGGAATAATATTCTACTCATTTATTATTACTTGTTTGTGATTATTATTATTAATATTATTATTTAAAGGAGAATAATAGATGCTGACATGACGCTCTCTTTGGACAGTGAAACTCTCTAAAAATTGGGAATTTTGTTTTAGCCTTATTAGAAAAATTAAAGATTTTGGAGAGAAAATATGTCCCCCTTGCCTCTTTCTAATTTAATGACTTTTATGAATTTTACTTTAAAATTTATTCTTTTTATGACTTTTAAGTACAATGCCTTCTCTTATGGTTTAACTTTTTTTACTTTTTATTTTCTTTCATATACTATTTTAATAGTGATGTTTCATTTTAATTAGAATAAAAAATTTGTATTTCTTCATGATACTTAATAAGAACAACAACAATGGTATAAATCTGCAGCTGTAACAATAAACAATCTAGCTGTAAATCTGCAGCTGCACTTGCCATATCAGCAAATGGTACCATTTTGGAAAAATCATAACCTTGAATATTTATGTATGAAGAATGACACTAATATAGCACTTCAAAAGAAGTTCCACCAATGAAAAAATAAAAGGACTACTTATCGAAAAATACTTGGAACGGTATGTGTGGAGAAGGTAAGGTAGAAGAAGATACAAGTAATAAGACATGTAAATGCAATGAATTCAATAGAGGAAGAAAGATATTACTTGAGTCTGAGCTATGTTTAAATTACGGGATTGTGAGATGATTACCAAATTCACTGGTTCTAGTTGCCTCTTCGTAAAATAAGTTGTATCATACGGTTTGGAGTGGGGGATTTGGAAAGGAAAATTGTTTTATGAAAAAGCACATTCTCAGCATGAAAATGGTTGATAATATTTGAACATTTATATGCTTTATGGTTTTGGGAGTAACTGAGTAAAACTGCGTGTGCTCTATTGATTGAATTTGTTTTTGCAGGGTTGTATTTGTTGCAAAAAGGCACAATAGTTTTGATTGAGATATCAGGAGGTTTACATTCAATTCCTCATAAGGAGACTTCCAATTCTTAAAACCATAGTAGGTATTCGTATTTATTAACATGAGTTTCTGCATAGACATTCAGACCAGAAATTTATTTTTAGGAAAATGACCTTGGAACATAAATGCCCTTGCTATTTGTAACAAACTCCTATGTTTTCTCTCTACCACACCATTTTGTTGGGGAGTGTATATGCAAGATCTTTGATGCATTATACCCTTCGATTGAAATAATTCCCTACATTGAGTATTCAAGAACTCAGTTCCATTGTCGATTCTAACCTTTTGCACTTCAACTCCAAATTGTGTTTCAATTAACTGCAAGTAATGGCTTAAAACTGAACAAACTTGATGCTTAGTATTTATCATATACACCCACGTATACCTAGATTTATCTTCCACTATAGTTACCATGAATTTTGCTCCGTTTATAAACTGCACACCATAAGGACCCCACAGATCTATATGTATTAATTGGAACAATTTTTTTTGATTTTGTAACATTTGTAGGAAAAGGAACTCTTGATTGCTTAGAAATAGGACATATTGAGCATACAATGTCACACAATTCATCATGCTCAAGTACACCAGCATATTTCAATCTTTGAAGTTTAACTTTGTATTTTCTACTGTTGTCA